CCCAGATGCATTGTGATTATTTACATTGATCAAGGATGCATTGTGATTACTTTGACCCAGAATGCATTGTGATTATTTACATTGATCAAGGATTCATTGTGATTACTTTGACCCAGAATGCATTGTGATTATTTACATTGATCTAGGATGCATTGTGATTACTTTGACCCAGAATGCATTGTGATTATTTACATTGATCAAGGATTCATTGTGATTAATTTGCCCCAGAATGCATTGCTCATTCACTTTGCCCCAGAATGCATTGTGATTATTTACTTTGATCAAGGATGCATTGTGATTACTTTGACCCAGAATGCATTGTGATTATTTATATTGATTAAGGATTCATTGTGATTACTTTGACCCAGGATGCATTGTGATTATTTACATTGATCAAGGATGCATTGTGATTACTTTGACCCAGAATGCATTGTGATTATTTACATTGTTCAAGGATTCATTGTGATTACTTTGACCCAGGATGCATTGTGATTATTTACATTGATCAAGGATTCATTGTGATTACTTTGACCCAGAATGCATTGTGATTATTTACATTGATCAAGGATGCATTGTGATTACTTTGACCCAGAATGCATTGTGATTATTTACATTGATCAAGGATTCATTGTGATTACTTTGACCCAGAATGCATTGTGATTATTTACATTGATCTAGGATGCATTGTGATTACTTTGACCCAGAATGCATTGTGATTATTTACATTGATCAAGGATTCATTGTGATTAATTTGCCCCAGAATGCATTGCTCATTCACTTTGCCCCAGAATGCATTGTGATTATTTACTTTGATCAAGGATGCATTGTGATTACTTTGACCCAGAATGCATTGTGATTATTTATATTGATTAAGGATTCATTGTGATTACTTTGACCCAGGATGCATTGTGATTATTTACATTAATCAAGGATGCATTGAGATTACTTTGACCTAGAATGCATTGTGATTATTTATATTGATTAAGGATTCATTGTGATTAATTTGACCCAGAATGCATTGTAAACTTACTCTAACTGATGAGCTTCTTCTGACACGAGCTTTAAATGTTTCATCTTGCCGAGTTTCATAAGCTTTAGAACCAAATGATGAATTATCAAAACTTTTACACAGTTCCTGAAAAAAAGACATAACAAAAATCAAATAAGCTGTTATCTACATTGTACATGTAAAATAACATGCACATATCTGTCCATGTATAACCAATATAAGGCTGCACATTACACTTATAAAAAACTGCTGATATTTCTTTTTACCTTCGCTATGTAAATATAAAATTGTCAAGGTACATGTACAGTGTCTAAAAGTCATTGATCTGTTTGTTGTCATGACTGGTCATGAATGATATTTGTTCAATTTAATAGTATACATGTAGCATGTGTTTACATAAATAACAGAGGGAAGTCCTGTGATCTGAGTGATGGTATAGAAGTTAGTGTGTTCACTTCAGCAGTATAGATAAGATTACAGTCTGCTTTGCCTCCAAACATGAAGCAATGATTTAGATAAGTAGCCACCTAGTGGCAGGTATTTTATTCACCAGTTGAGCAACTAGTGGTGGTAATTTGTTTTTCTTTTGTTTTTTGAACACAGAATTATTAGCCCTAGACCATTTATACATATGCCACTTTCAAACTCACAGAAAACTGAAGCTAAAAAGATCTATTATAGGTTTGACCCAATTTTTCAGTTAATTATGAAGAGGCCAGAAAACTGATGATAAATACAAGTACATACCTCAATACTGTCTGGCAGAGTGGCAAGTATGTGGAGAAAATAGTCTGCTGGACAATAGTATGGGGGACATGTATATCCCATTGTTGAGAAGAAATGTATTGCTTGACTTGGAGAGCCAAAATATACACACCGACCATCAGCCAGCAACATTATACTGAAACAAAAAAATAGAAACTGATTGCAAATTGTAAACACACATGTATTGTACACAAATACTGAGTAATGTACACGCTTATGTAAATTACAGACTGAGGCGTTTCTGTGGTCACAATATTAATGTTAAAGCGGGCCATAGTGTGTCAATGTTTACAAACAAGCATCTACCCATGAGCCTTTGCCTTTGTGGTGGTGAAATTTACAATGCCAGTAATTAATGATGTGTATTACCTATTATTGTTTAGTGTCTTGTTGGATGTGCTAAAAATTACAATAATTACCACAAATTTGCGGCTCTAAATGTATTTATTTATTATTTCGATGATATATTGAATTAAAATCTCTGACCCAACAGTTGTTTCCTACTGCCCTTGCATGGTGTTGTTTGGTAGGAAGCACATCAAAAACCCCAAGAGGAATTAACGATAGGACGACAGCTTAATGAATTGTATGAATTGTAAACTACTAAATAAATATGTAACATATTATTAGTGTTAACAAACATTTACATTCCACCATGGAGACTCATGCCATCTTCAACGCAAACTGAAAAACCCTAACTCTAATTTTACTAGCATGGCATGTTGTACATGATAGACTCTAGTACAATTACAGACTGACAGCGGCACAGTTAAGAAAGCATGCAACTAAAACTAACTAAACATGACTAGATTTGACCAATCACTCAGTCTCTACAGTAAATGATTTAGTCAAGACAATGTTTGTGAGTTCAAACTTACTTGTCAAATAAGCCATATAATTGCGACGATGTTTTTCGAAATGTACAAATAACAGTATGTCCAATACTGGCAAACCCTTTCAGTGTTTGTATGATATCCATGGCTGCGTCTGCATCAAGTCCATGTGTTGGTTCATCATAGAATATAACTGGTTGATTTGTCAACAACTGCATAAACAGAAATAGATTCATGTTAAAAACAAAATGCATCTTAGTGCAAAAAAAGATTTAAAACCTGCATCTGCCACACTTTTTTTTTTTTTATGCATACTGGTGAATTAAGTGTTCTACGTATGATAGAAATATCTGTTTTTCAATTTCATAGGATACGATTCTTGATCCAAATCAACCATTAATTTGAAAATGTTTGGCCTTAAGCAAAGAGTCACCCAATTTTTTTATAATAATTACACTCAAGATGAGAACTAATTCTTACCTCTGATGCAATAGACAATTTTTTTCTTTCACATAATGTAATACCATTACAATGAGGCTGACCAATCAGAGTATCCGCACAATCTATCAAATCAAGCTTTATTAAAAAAAACAATCAAATATATAAAATATTTACACAAGAGTAAAGTTTTGGGTTCTATAGTTGCTATGCTACCAGACATTCAATAGTGTTGGTTTTGCACGAGTAGAAGATGAGGGCGCTATGACAGTCATTTACAATATGTAGTTACGTTCTATGCCAAGATTTTGCTTCAGTTGCTGAAACAACGACTGGGCTACCAGTACAACCATTGCTATAGCAACCAAAATGGCTGCCATTTTAAGAGAATACTCAAAAGGTGACTCTAAAAATGCTTGCTCAAGGTAGAAACCTACTCATGATTTCAAATACCCAGAATTTATTCATTTTCCCATAAATTGTAGTTTCGAGCAATATAAGGATATTGACTTAAAAAAAGTTGGAGGTGACCAGCTTAATTTTCGAGGAAATGATGGTTGTATTTTAGTGAATAGTAGCCATTTTGTCAGTATTATAACGCTTTTACCATACGTTCCTATGGAAGAGATAATATGTCATATCTTAAATTGTAGGCTGGTGACATACATGTAGGCTGAAAAAATTATATATTTATAAATGATAGGGTAATTTTTGTGCATCGTGCTTTATGGAATTGTTCTAAAAATAGCAATTTTAGAAAAAAAATTAGGACAAATTTCTCAAAATACATCACTGTAACACACAAAAGAATGCTATTTCATGAGACACTGTTTCAGGATTTTACATAATAAACCAATGAACACTCTCATGCGATTTATGAACAACTTTCTTAAAAATTATGAGTAGGCTTCTCCCTTAAATGACAAGAACTAGTTGGAAACAGAAATTTTTCAAATTTGTAAATAAAAGTTTTTATATGAATACAGTGAAAAAATGTCAAGCCTTCTGGCTGGAAAAATGTTTATGATTGCACCATACAACCATAACACTGTGTCTGACTGTACCTCCAAAATCCACTGAACTAATTAGCAGCAGATACAAATACTGATGGCTGACCAGTAAAAGAATTTGTTGGGGTTGGTAGGCCAGAGGCCAGTGCATGGTGACAAGGGGAGTGTTAATAACTAGCATTAATGTAAACATATGTGACAAAACTGTAAATGATTTTATTTCTTTTCAACATTTTTTTCATAAACACAATATTGCAATGTTACTGTAGAATACAAGTTGTCCCTTGTACTTAAATATACAGACATCCACAATAAATCCCTACCTCTACCAGAAGATTTTCAACTTTCTCCAGTTTACTATGGAAATGATATTCAGAATTCATTCTTAAGGCAGCCTGAAATAAAAAAAGTTAACAGATCATTTTACAAGTACAGTATTTGATCCATTCAAAGAGCATCAAACAAAACTGTATACTGGATCATTATGACATATTAAAAACATAATGTCAACCTCTGGCACAGTACAGGGTTTTTCTAGAAGAAAAAACTGCAAGAAGAAGCACTGCAATTCAGCAGCGCCACCAAGTGGGGGAGATAGGGTTCTCCCTACCAGGGTGTGGAGTTTCTGATAATTTTAAGTTAAAATGGAGCATTCTATGGATTCCTTGGTGCCAAAATTACTATCAGACTGGTCATAGTTGAAGACTGTGGCCACATGTGATCCCTGGTCATTCAGAATTTTATGGTTAACAGAGAATCTGCTCCCCAGGGTAAGGGGGCACATGGCCATGGCATGGGGGCGCTGTGCCCCTGTTCTCTTGTTTAAAAAAATCCCTGTTGTATATTTTAATGAAGGATAAAGGAGACAGAGGAGAAGACATGCCAGGTTGTGTCGTGAACTAGGCGATTACGTGACATATGTGAGTGTTGGTTTGAGTCATGCACACAGTACATGTTTACTTTGATTTGACATAGTATTTACCATCCCATTTATTTGGTGTTATTTACATACATGGATCTGTTCAACATTAATCCTGGCAACCAGCGTGCCCTCTGTGTGTCAAAATGGAATCCTACAAAATGGTGTCAGCTTGTTAACTGCTGGGTGAGTAGAAGCACAATTAAAACTGGTGTTCTATGTATTTACACTTAATTGGTTTATAAAATTTGAATTTCATTTCACAAAATTAAAAATTCCATAACTACAGTAGAATCACTATATTTATGTATGATTTTATGTTTTATCAATAATGTGCTAGTGAATTAGCATATTTTGCATGACAGCAAATCCTTGTGCATCATCTCAGAGCTTAGAAAGCACACTGCTGCCAAGGTTTGGGGGATAGTGATGTAGCTCCATCTTTTAATACTAAAATGCGAAGGGAATGATGTTTATTCAGATCATTTCCTTCACATTCAAAGATGGGATGGGGAAGAAATATAAAACAACTGCCCAGAAGTCAGAAAAAAGTAAATGCATTCATGAGGCTATAAATGTGTTTGAAATATTCATATCCATGAAGTAGACAGAGGTGTTTGCCATGCTATGGGATAAGTTTTCTGATTGCAAACATTGATGGAAATTAATACGTTCACATCTGCTAAACAGAAATAAGCTATATGGTTACCAGAAGTATATATTTTGACATTTTACATATGACCCAGAATTGGTAAAAAATATGTGTGGAGGTTTGTAAAAATAGAAAATAAATACTGCCATGAAAACAAAACAGTTCACTTGGTCCATACATGTGTGTGTAATAATTCAATTGTGCTAAAATATAACTACATTACAACATCAGTAAGTATGACATAACACAATTATACTTTCATAGTAGACGTAGATTTAGTATGCATAAATTACATAATTAATCACACATTATATAAGTTTAGAAAGACATATCTGTACATGTATCACTTGACAACTGTTAATGTATAATTAAAACACTCAATCATAATAATTATAGTAATCAGATGAACATGAACGTTTCTTCTCATATCACATTTTTCTTTAAGAACACTCAAGAAATGCATTATTTAAAAATTAATAATAAACCCTCATGGCTGAAATGTCAGCTACATCAAAACATGTGAATTGACGGATTGTCTGAATACTACATATGCGAGAACTTTCAGAGCACATTGCTTCGGGAATACCAGCAATATTGGATTAGATTAACTTACCTGGAATTGTAGATGTTCTCTGACGGTGAGTTTGGTGATAAAGAATTCATCTTGTTGTACATAAGCCATTACACTAGTTATAGAGCTGTCTACAGGTTCACCATTAGCCATTATATTACCCTGGACACTTAGGTTACCATCGCTACGAAATGTTAGCGTATCCAGTAATGTAGACTTGCCACTTCCACTGTTATAAGTAAAATTTATACACAAACAAATGTATCAAACAAATCTTTTAATAAGCTTAGTATGTTTTGATAATTGAAGAGCTGTGCTTCTTGTAAATTTTTTTTTTAATTTATGTATTACATTTGTGGATGTTATTGCTACGCAAAACAACACTAGAAAATGAATTTTTTAATTGAACAAAACTTCATTTTCCGGCATTGTTTGCATGGTATTATCATAAAAATATGACATCACTATTTGATACTGCAAAGTTAATTTTAAAGAATTACATGAATTAAAATACTTTGAAATACTTAATTTTCACTGAAAAGACTTTTAAGGTGTTTTGTATGAATTTTATTTTTACTGATTTTTGATAAGTTGAATGTAAAATATACAAAAAAAAGTATATTCGCCGGATTTTATTTGCACTGAATCATTCCTTCAGTGAAAATAGCGAAAATTAATTCCAACCAAAAATAAAGTATTTTACAGTAAATGAAATACATGTAACTGGGAAAAATACCAAATGAGTATTTATGGCATGCATGAGTTATGCGAGTCAAATCTTGTCGTCCAGTAGCTAATGTATTTAAATTGACTTAACCCAGCCATAGTAACACAGTGAAGCTAGTTAGACTGTGTACTATGCCCAGCGATACCAGCTGACTGTAAAATGAGTTGACCTCATTCTAGAACTAGTAGACTAATGAGGTTCACAGCGCAGTCACTCACCTTGCCCCCAAAACAGCCAACACTCTTCCAACTTTGGCATATCCATTAACTACAAAATAATATAATAATGAAGTATTAGCAAAATTGTAATATTAAAATCAGTTTTGGCAACCATGGTTAATGAGAACATTGACAACGCCAAAGTCAACTTTTGTTGAATAAATCTGAAAAATAACTGCTGAAAAATTTTTTAAATCTGAGTTTACGTCCATAGTGACCAATGCAATCTGTATATAAATTATTGTTACTTTTTCATTCACTAAATTAATTAACTTAAAAGGGATTCAGGGAAATACCAGGAGATTATATATGTGTGTCTACTCCATGTCTACACCGAATACAAATATATCGGCGCATATAACCTATTATTATACATCTGTCACCATAACGCCATAAGTTAAAGCGTGCCGTAATTTTGCGATATATTTTACTGGGTATTTTCATCCTACCATATTAGGAAATGTGAATTCCAAATATGGAATGATTATGTGCGTAAACGTCTAATAATAAAAACAAACATGGCTGCCAACAGAGTTTGACCGGACTCCACACAAAGAAGTTGGCTGATTCTGTTTTAAGATTTTTGGATTTCGGCATTCCCATGATGTATCTTTGGAAGGAAAAGACATATAATAGTA